GGCTATTACGGGATGTGTGTGAACACTCCCTCTCTCCCACAGTCACAAACCTTCCTGGTTGTTCCCCTGATCTCTGCACAAGCTCACACCCAGACGAGCACATAAATGTCCACACGCACCACAGTGATATCTGATGTTGTCATGGCGGCCTCTCAGACCTTGCTGCTTATGTGTGCTGAGAGACAGAAGTAAATTTAGGCCATGTCTTTCCTCTCCTCCCCCTTTTTACAAGGATTAATAAATAGCTGAATTCTTGGCTTGACTTTTGTTCTGTTCTTAGGTCTTGCTTCAGTACATAACGATAATTTCCTGCTGAACTGCTTCTGCTGCACTTTGCCTGTTTCACTTCCCTTCTAAAAGAAGTGACTGCAGAGTAAATACCGGACCAGAACAGTGTGACTCCAGCCGGGGTTAAATCTGACCACAGAGCCTTGTGATTTTACCCAGCTTCTGATTTCAACAGCAATGGCTTCCAGTTTTGATCTAAAGTGTGTTTGCTGTGAGGAGGGCACCCAAGTTTTCAGCTGCGAATTCTCAACAATATGCAAAGAGGAAGATAACCTGTGCAAACTATCTACTCTTCTGAGCTGCAAAACTGTGAGAGAAGGGTAATACTACATTCAGAGTGGTTTGCCCTTGCTTTTTCAGGTCCTCATTTTATTACGAGGACTGGTAAACCACTTTGTATGTGTGAGAGAGCTCAGCATAATAACAATGGAAATGACATGACTATTATTATTTCTGTGCTGGAAGTGGTGCTGCCTGTGGCTCTGTGAAAGTGTGGAGCTCTCTTTCCTCCAAAGCTTTAATAAAATCAAGAGGGAAGAAGAGCAACAGCTTGTTGCATTACTCACTGAGTTGTGGGTTTGGTTGGAGGGTTATGTAAGGGCATGTTTGCATACAGCCAAGGTGCATCATGCAGACACCCCCGAACAAAAACACCCCAATGTATGCCTCTGGCCAGAAACCCCCAAAGGCTGTTTGCTGGCCAAACAATTTGCAGCAGGAGCATGTGGCATATCTACCAACATGCCAGCTGCCCCAGGTGAAGGGCTTACATCACAGAGAAACAGCTGGAGCTGTGACACCCCCAGCCTGGGCCGATGGGGACAGAGCTCCTGGCAGCTCACAGGCCCTGGGCCAAGGGGAGCAGCTGCACCTCTGCTGCTGGGGGCTCCTGCACACTGCAGATGCAAACCCACTGCTTTGTGCCCGGCTCCCACAGGTGTAAATGGCTGCACAGAGACCCGGAGCTGGGGCCTGGAGGTGGAGGAGAGTTATTGCAGTGAGATGAAGGGCAAAGAGAACAGCAGCTTCAGCACAGCCAGGCAGGCAACAGAGCTTCTGCCAGGGCCAGGTGAGGACACAGCTCCAGGCTTGTCATCCCCATCCCAAAACACACCACTGGGAGTCTCACTGCCATCACAACAAATGGCCTTTAGGAGGGACTCAAAGAAAAGACAGCAGTGGCTTTACCTTCTTTTTTGGGGGATTGTATTTGGTGTGAGGACAGCATGGAAGAACACATGAAGTTACCTGTAGAAAAGCAAATATTACCATGAATTGGGCTGGTGCTGCTGGATCTGTGGAAAGACAGACGTAAGGTGCTGAGATGGAGACATGAATAAGAAGGGCTGAGAAATGAAGAGTTTAAATGAAAGCCTGAATCTGAAATATGTGTAGAGGAAGCAGCTTTTGAGAGGGGTAGGATGGTCAAACCAAGTAGGAAAGCAAGAGGTACAGACTGGGAGGAGATGATGGGAGGGCCACAGTGACAGAGGTCACAAACTTCATGGAAGTATCACAAACAAGATCTTTCTGAAGAAGAAGGTGCTGTGTTACAGACTAAGCATATTGAGATCCTAGGAAGAGACACGATTTCACAGACCATTATGAGAAACGCTCACTCTGCAAACTTCAGCTTTAACTGGGAAAAAATCAATTTCTGTATGATTGCAGACTTATTTACAGACTCTTTGATTACTGAACTATATTCAAATGTTTAACCTGCAGTAGGAAACATTGTGTTAGAAAACTTAAAAAAGACTTAGAGTTGAAGTAGAGGCTTTAATTTTTGACAAAAGTAGCAGGTGTTCTACTTCTCCAATTACTTTTCTGATAATTAGAAATTCATTTTTGAGTAGCATACTCTCACTTTTTCATAGTTCCCCAATTAGAGAGAGGGGGGGGAAAAACATTTTGCCATAATCTCCTTAATGAAATGCAGTCACCAAACTTTCAACATGTCAGCTATTGGGCGGGAGTGACAAACTCTACAATAGGTATTTCACATAACTGATCATACAGTAGGCCATATTCAGAAGGAAAAATTACAGTACAGAAGACACAGCCCTCCAAAAAACACCCCAAACCTCCTGACATTTTTTATCGCAATTTTAAGATCAGTTTTGGAGGATACCTTTCTTAATCAAATACTATTGCCTTTAAAGATTAGTGATCACAGCCTAATCATGCTGCACTTAGCTTAATTTGCTTTGCTATGGTCTCATTAAATTCTTTCTTTTGGTCAGAAACCCTGCCATGGCTTGGCAGAGAAACAGGAAATTTCTTCTCTATGTTGGAGGATTGTGACTGCTCTTTCATTTTAACACACAGACTGGAGGGTGCTGCAGCAAATTACATGTGGGTCACCCCTTCTTTCCTATGTAAGGAGCTCACAACCCCTCAGAACACTTTGTCAGCTGGACAACTGGGACAAAAGGGAGAAAAATAATCCTTGTGTCAAAAATGTCTCAGATTGCCATTCGATCAGTTAGATTTAATGTTTAATTTTAGGTTACCTGAAACCTCAATGGCAACAATTCCTACAACTGATTGTTGAGGCTGCTTTTGTCCCATCTCAGCTTGCGCCAGATTCAGCATTTGGTGGTCAAGAAGAGACTTTCCTGAATTGCTACTCTCCTTTGTGCTGAGAAAGTGCACTTAAGGAACAACCTGGCAACATTACATGTTATTTGATCTGGAATCTGTGAACCAGAGTAAAGCACAAGCAATAAATAGTAGAGGTTTTGCACTATTGTTTTGCTGGCAGATGAGAAGTGTAAAAATTGCTTTCCTCACCAAAGTTTGGAAGTCCATTAAAAAGTTGTGAGCAGATGTTTCACGATCATCCCTACACCTGCAGGAGTATGCAGAGAGATGTGGTACCTTGCAGTCTCACCTGGGTCCATGGAATGTGTCTCCTCACACAGATGGTGAGCAATAAGGAGTATTTTAATTGCTGGATGAGCTACTGGCAGGGATTAGATCTAACTAGACACCTCTAGTGCTGTCACACACTTCACCTGCAGCTGAACTGAACTAAGAAGAAAGTCAGACTCTTTCCTATCTTTGGTATCTTCCAAGGAAACCTATTTGCATCCTGCACCAGAAAGGCATGAACTGGCTTTCAGAGGCAAGACCCACAAGCACATGTGCAGCGTCAGTAGAACAGGCAGAACTACACCTTTAGCAGTATACCTTAAAACAGTTGACTTTACCCAGTGGTGCAACCATGGCTTTTGGTAGTGTACCTGTGTTCTGGACATGCAGGGCAATGCACTCACATGTCTTTCCATTTTCTGTACAAGCCATTGTATTTCAGAGACACTCATTTAGAGGAAATCTGTACATGTTGGCAAGGAACTACTTCTGCCAGTAAAGCCAATTTGCTCCTCTAAATGGAGCAAATGGAGCATAGGTTCTCTCTGCTTGAGATGGATTGCCTGAGAACTTTGTTGGCAAACTTATCAGATGAGGATTCTATGGGAAAGCCTCCCTTTGGGTGAATGGGTCATGATTTTAAAGAAGAGTACTAAAGAATACTTAAGAGGTTTTTGTACCACTAAACCCCTCATTATTTCCTATTCTGGACTATTTTTTCTTGAAGAATTTAACTGCATAATATTTGCTGCTAACGCTGAACTCCCATTTTAATTCAAGTATTTAATGAAAATTTCCTCCATGATTATTTGCTCATTAATGCAGGTAAGTTCTAAAAGATTTTTTGTTTGCTTGTTCTTGATGCATTTACTAAAACTGGACTCACATGCTTTTATCAACCTCTGAATTGCAATAGTTTGGAGAGAACACACTGTTAACTTGAACTTTGCAACATTTGACTGTGAGCTTTACATATTATACCAATAGTAGTTTGATTAATTGGTTTCTACCTGCGGCAAAACTCTCTTAGGGAGTTAATGTGGATTTGCTTAGGTAAAACCTGTGAGATTTTTCTATACTTGAAAAAGAATACAATTAGATTTACAATTGTTAAGAAGGACAAACTGCTTTCAAAAAGTATAGGTAATATCACAGAAAAAAGGCTGCATAGTGGGTACCCAGCTCTGAATAAATCTTTTTAAAAGATTAGAATTTGGAAGAATTAAGAGTTCTTAATTAAGAATTACTAAGAATTAATTAAGAATAAAAATAATTATTTTTTTAAATTACAAAGAATTATGGAAATCAATTTCTTTCGCTATTTTTGAGCTCCAATATTATGTATTCTTTAAAAATTTAACTTACAGGACTTCTAATCTACTGTTGGGGACTTGAACTAGCCTAGATGAAGATCTTCTGTCTACTCATCAGTTACAGATGTTAATTGGGGTGAGGGTCATGATAGTAATCAGTTGCACAAATGACCTACATGTGGAAACAAATAGATGAATAATATTTCCAGGTCACCACCAGTAGTAAATATTGCTCTATTAAATATTTACATATACAGATGGAACATTGCTTGTTTGTTTTGGGATTTTGGTTGGTTGGTTGGTTGTGCTTTTGCACGCCAGAAAAAACCAAAAAAACAAAACAAAACCCACCACCAAAGACTCCTGCATTTGAACAAAAGGGATTGAAGAGAGAAGCAAAACTTTTTTTTCTATTTCATGACAATGCTAGCAGGAATTACTACTTTAAAAAAAATCTGCTGGTGCTTCCTGTTCCAGTTTGTTTAGTCACAAGTCTGAATTAGATCTCTCTGTTGGTTGGTTTCGTTTACTATAAACAGGTCTTGTGCTTTGTTTCAATACATCAAAGCCCTTAGCCAGGCACAGACAGGTAAGGTAAAAGGGGGTAAGAAAGTTTACAGTCTTGCTTCATTGTTTCTTTAAGCGTTCCAGACAACGGTCAGAGGGATCACACGGAGTTTAAAAGAAGGCTTGGTTGCTGTGTTTCTGTCTATGTAAACTGGTTTCTCTTTTGTTCCTTTTCTAGAAACCACATGTAACTTTAGGTCAAAAAGTGTAAAATGTGGCACTTCTTAAACCAGCATTACCGCTGCCCTGGGGTAACTCGATCAGGCAAAGGTGCAGGCTCCTCTCCCTGCTGTGCTGATGCCTGCTGCCGTCCTTCAGGTGAGTACCAGAGGTTTATTTTCTTTTCAAATATCCATCCACCTGAAGGAGGCAGACGGCTGAGAAGGGTATTTTCTCACGACTGACACTGCCAAAAAAAAAAAAAAAACCAAAAAACAACTCACTGGTTTAGCCCTTTAGAGATAAATGCAAATCACTCCATCCCACAGTATTTTTAGTAAAGCTGCTCTAAAAGTTTGCTTCAAGCCCTTGCATCTCTCAAGGTTTTCTTCTCTGGTTTTGGGGGGTTTGACTTTTTGGGGGGGGGGGGTGTTGTTTGTTTTTTGTTTTGGTTTTTGTTGTTGTTGTTGTTGTTTTGTTTTTGGTTTTGGGGTTTGGGTTGGGTTTTTTGTTTGTTTGTTGGGGGAGGGGTTTGCTGTTGGTGTTTTTTGGGGGTTTTATTTGTTTGGTTTGTTTTGTTTTTTTTTAATCTGCCCTCTTAAAACAACAGGAATGCTGGCTGGCCCTCAGCCAGCCAGAACTCAGCAAGCAGGGTAAAATTTCAGTTCAGATTTACGGGAAGGTGTTGGGAGTAAAAATCTGGTTTGGTGAGTTTAAGGCAGGGAGTAGTCCGGAGACAACCTTGCTACTGTGAGTGTGGAGAGAAAGAGAGGAGGGGGGGAGGAGGATAATAAAAACCACCCAGGCTGGAGATTAGAGACCAATTTTTCCCCTGTCCGAGTTTCAGTGCCTGTTGCTGAGCTCCTGCAGCCTTATCGAGTTTGCAGGCAGAAAGCCGGGTCTGGGGGTGCAAGAGCTGCGCGGTGCCGGCAAAGAGCTCAGCTCAGCGCCCTGGAATGTGCGGCTTAGGGCAGGGGCGAGCAGGGGCTTTGGCTTAGCTGGTACTAATTGCAAGTTTTAGTGCTCAAAAATTCTGGTTTAAAAAAAAAATACAACCAAAAAACAAAAACCAAAAAAAAAAAAAAAAAAAAAAACCCGAGCAAAGAAGCAAAGAGCCAAGAGAGGGGGTTAAGACTGGGAGAGCTGTTGCTCCAAGCAGCAGTGCAAGGAGTTGCTCAACTCTCACTTAGCAGCGCGGTAGGAAGGACAATGCATTAAGGTCGCTACCCCAAAACGCCGCCGCTGCTGCGAATGGTGCTGGGCGCTGAGGTGGGCTCCAGGTAGGTACCGCCGCTTCTCGGTTTGCTCTGCGCTTCATGCGTCCTTAGCTGTGAATTGGATTGTACTTACTCCTCTGTGATTGGGTTGACAATGTAAGCGACCAGAAGTTCACTCAGAAAATACATTTTAAAGTATTTTTACGGGGGAAAGGCAAATGGAGAGAACTGCAGAGGTTTTCGGTGGAGTTTTGGTGCCTCTTTCCAATTGACAGATTTCTGGTGATTCTGAAGAAAGATGACAGGCGAGAGGCACACGCAGGTACTAAAAAAGGACAGATTGAGAAGTGATTTGCAAGATCTGAGAGTTTTAATTTAAAATATATATTTCTCCAAGTCAAAGATAAAGCACAGCGTGACTTGCCTAATGTCTTTGGAGTCAATTTCGGAAGTAGTGTTTCGTTTTATGGCTGTTTTTTCTTTTTGAACACTTAAAATGCTGTAATTTGTACAGACCAGAGAGCCGTGGCACAAGTGACAGGGAGGTGACAAGAGGGCTCTGAGTCTGCTGTCTGCCAGTCTGTTACAGACATTAGCATAAGAATGGGACCTTATCTGTGAAAAGTTTCTGAAGACCATTTAGAACACATGTATCCATCAGGAGATCAGGCATCTTCTTCACGCTGAGATATGCGTGAGTAGATGAGAAATACTAGGGCTCATGTTAAAAGAAGCAGCAGATTTTAAAGTTTTTTTAGAGGTAAGGCTGCGCAGCTCATTTCTTCTCAGGAACTTGAAATAAAACTTTGAGCTAAAGCCAATCTATTGTAATGGATAAAGATGGGCTGGCACCTTACAGGTCGCAAAATCCCTACCAAATTTTATCGCCTCAACTGGGCTGACCTGGCAGAAGGCAGGAGCAGCATCAGACGGGGCTGAAATGAGCCGCCCGAGGCTAACGCAAGCTGAGTATCGGTGCCCTGATGTGTCTCCCAGACTGTGCAGTTGATAATTTGGACAAGCCTGCAATTACTCCCTCCCAGTGCGGCCGAGCTGCCGTGGTGCGGGGGGAGCCGCGCGTTCCGCACGGCGGCGGGGGCGGGGGGAGCGCGGACTGCGCGCCCGCGGAGCTGCCAGGCCGGGGCAGAGGTGGCCCGCGGTGTTAAGCGGAGCCTGGTATAGAGCTGGGAAGCTGGGAGGCAGCGTGCGCTCTCCGAGAGGAGGGGGAGATAACGCCAGGAATGGGCCGCTGCTGGTGTCCGGCAGGCTCGAAGCTAACAGACTGCGGGCTGCGAGATAAACCAAGAGACAAACACTCCTCCTGCACATTCGTTCTCCCTCCCGCCACTCCCCTGCATATTCCCGTCCTGAGAGAGGTTGTTCTCCGGGCTCGTTTCAGAGCTGTGCATCCTGCCGAGAGCTCAGGGCAGCTGTTCCCACCTCACCTCGTAGCCTGGGGAGAGCCCAGCACCCTCTTCTGCTTTTGGGGTCTGACTTCTTCTGAGACACAGGCTCCGGGCCCTCAGTGATGTTAAGGAAATATTTGGAGGTTTTGGACTGGCATGTAAATAGGGTTGCTAATAATTTCTGAGGGTCCCTGCTGCAGCTGAGGATGCAAAATCTTTCTTTGACGTTTAGAAAATAAAAGAACATGCTGCCTTCAATACAACAGATTTTTTAAAAGTTGAAAACATTGTAATAAAAATATTTAATATAGGCAGTGGAGATGGTAGAGTCTTCAGGGAATACTGTTTCTATGTCAGTTTGGTCTGAACCCTTGATCTTGCGTAGCCCTCACCTGGCCAGCTTCAGCAAAGCTATCCCTGGCACCGGGGTCTGCTTTTGCAGCTTCCCACGTTTTGGAGTCTTGGCCTCCTCCACATGGCAGAGCCCCCTCATTTTGCTACCACTCTATGAAATGCTACACCATCTTCTGTGAAAGCTGTGGGAGCATCTGACAGCTAGAGAAGACCAGGGGTTACCCTGGAGTGGTGTGAGAGTACCTGTTGGATTACCATAGGGGCCCACTGCACTTCTAGGGTGACAAACTCCAGCAGAGGTGACACCACATTTATGGGTAAAACAAAACGGTGATCTTGGCTTTTTCATTCAAATGGCCCTGATCACTTGTGTGTACAATATTGCTGTGATTTATTGAGAAATTTAGCAGGGGCAAGTACGTGCTCTTTGTGAAGAAACATGGGCAGATCCTGTTCCTGTTTAAAAAAAAGTCAATGATGAACACAAAGGTGAACATAAAGTTCAGGTTTGCTTTGTAGCAAGGAAGCAGATCTAACATAAAGAGTTTAAAGAGACCATCTCCATGCTTGTGCATATAGTTGCCTCTCTTGTCATGAAGTTGAAATCTCCAAATTACTGATGACTTAAACCAACAAATCCTTCCTTATATTGTAGTCACTTTGAAATTTGTTTCATAAGGGGATTTTTAGGTGTAATTTTCAAGTTCGTAAAATGGATCCCGTGAACAGGATATTTTTGTCTGCTCCCTTAGCAGAGGGAAGGACTCTGACCTTTATCTTTCCATTATGAGGCCTAAAATAATATTTCTTTCTGCTGTAGGAATTTTTTTTCAATAAAATGCTTCTGGGTACACCTAGCTCTTGCCAAGATCAGGAACATCTCAGTAGCCTTGCTGAGACAATGCAGGCATTGTATAGCTATGGCTGGTAGGGCTTTGGTGACACAGTAAACTCAACAGAGAAAAGCAACTTTTTAGTAACTGCAGAGCTGACTACCTGATACTTGAGGGCATTTTTGTCCTTTCCAGGCTTTCATTTGCCCTGATCCCAAGTAAGATTTTATTTGAAAAGAAGAAAGAGGTTTCTGATATTTTTAAAGTGTGTTTTATAAAATATGCTTAGAGTTTGGATATTATCTTTTGCTTAGGTAGGTCATAAAGCTGAGACTGAGTCAGCACAGATGGGCTTATTTGCCATGAGATGGAAAGAAATTACAAAGGCGTGAAAATCCTCAACCAATAATAATGCGACAACAGTAATTTTCACGTATTTTCAAAGGGAGAACAGCTTAACCAGCCTCCAACAACTGAGAGGCTTTCTATCTTATTTGCCAATGGGAGAGCCATTGGAAAGTTTACTCTGGAAAAGCAGCACCCCAAATGATGTAGCTCAGAGTTTGCTTTCGTGTTTTGGCCTTTTGAGTACCCAATGGATGGGCTGGAGCTGCGCCGTAGAAATAAACTGAGGTACTGCTTCTACCTTTTTGTCTTTTACCAGAGAAACTTAGTTCCACCACAAGTCAGGGTGTAGGCTGAGTTTCAGCAAGTTGAGTTCCCAGTAACATTCAAGATGTCATTTATGATTGCTGTGTCACAGAGCTGGGATTCCTGACCTGGGTGTTTCTGCTGAGGGGACCTGCTCACACAGGTGGAGCGGAAGGGCTGCCACTGCCATGTGGGGTTTGTGCACAAAATAGCTGCTGAGAGGCAAGGGATGGGATGGATGCAGGTGGAGCACAAGGAAATGGTGAGGGGTCAGCTGGGTACAGAGCCAGAGCAGCATGCCAGCAGGCTGGCTGCTGTTGGGCTACCTCAGCAGCAAGGGAGAGACTTTAGAAAGAATTTAGGAGAGGTGAGCAAAGTTCCTCTGCAGCTGTGATCAGGGAGGCAGTCCCAGTGAGGAATCATGAAGGAAAACAGAAGGGCATATGATGAGAAGCATAAAGTAGGTGTTCATAAGCTGCAAAAGACACCTGGTTGTACTATTCAGCTCTGCCTGCCTAGGCAAGTATTGTGCGTAAGGACCTTCTATTTTATTTGTTAGAAGACGGAAAGAGGATCAACAGGAGCACAGAAAATGAGTGGCACATTCAAAGCTATGAAAATGACTCTTGAAATAATATTTGGAAGGTAAAACAGTGGATCAAGATTGTAGATCAACAGTGGATCAAATTACGACAGGG